AAAAAAAAAAAAAAAAAAAAAAAAAAAAAAAGTGAAGACTCATAACATAAACCTACTCCATTTTTTTATTTTGTTTTTGTTTTTTGGTACTGGGGATTGGATTTGGGACCTTGCACTTTCGAGGCAGGCGGCGGCACCACTGAGCTAAATCCCCAGGCCAAGTAGTCTACTTTTAAAAAATAGCATTGCTGGGGCCAGGGATTTAGCTCAGTGGTGCTGCCACCTGCCTCAAAAGTGCAAGGTCCCGAATTCAATCCCCAGTACCAAAAAAAAAAAAAAAAAAAAAAAAAAAGTGCGACGCATACCTATAAACCCAGCACCCTGGAGTCTGAGGCAGGAGGATCCCTGTGAGTTAGACACCACCCTGGGCTACACAGTGAGTTCCAGGTCAGTCTCAACTACATAGTGAGTCCCTATCTCAAAAAACAAAAGCAAAAAAAAAAGCATTGCTGATCACTAGTGAAAGGAAACACTAATAATGAAGTGTGCTGGGTTGAATGATTATCCCAAAAGGGAAAAAAAATTCTAGGTGGATTAAGGGCTTAAATACAAAATACTAAACTTTATAAAAATATGTTTGTGATACAAAAGCATTATCACAGACTTTTTTTTTTTTTTTTTTTAATTGGTACTAGGGATCGAACTTGGGCCCTTGTGAGGCAGGTGCCAGAACCACTGAGCTAAATCCCCGGGCCTCAAAAGCACTATCATAAAAGAATGTTTTAATAAATTCAACTACATTAACTTAAATATCTGAATCACAAGAACAAGTTAAAAATTTAACAGCTGACTGTGGTGGCACACGCCTGTAATCCCTGTACTCGGGAGGCTGAGGCAAGAGGATCGCAAGTTCAAGCCCAGTTTGGGCAGCTGAGAAACTTAGTAAGACCTTGTCTCAAAATAAAAATAAAATTAAAAAAGGGGCCACAGATGTAGTTAGTACAAAGGTCCTGGATTTGATCCCTAGTACCACTCCACAAAAAAAAAAAAAAAAAAAAAAAAGGTAACAGCACAGAAAATGTTGGAAGTATAGAATAATGTATTTCTCATACATCACAGGCAAGTAGGACCAGTTGAACAGTTTCCTATAAATTTAACATATACCATATACCTAAAATGCACCAATAAAATTAATTAGAAAAAATTTAACATATACCTATTCCATGACCCAGCAATTCTACTCTTAATTATTGCCCAAAATATACATACATAAAACACATGTCTGTGGAGTTTCATTTATAATGGCCCTAATTTGGAAACTATATACATCCACCAATAATAGAAGGGACAAATACATTGTGCTGTGCCCATGCAGTGAACTAAGACTCAGCCATGAACAAGGGAATGGGGCTCAAAACCACGATGAGGGCCGGGGATTTAGCTCAGTGGTGCCTCTGCCTGCCTTGCAAGAGCAAGGTCCTGAGTTTGACCCCCCCCCAGAAAAAACCCACCATGAGATGCCACTTCTTACCCAGCAGGATGGCTGTGTGGCCAAGCAATAACAGTGCTGGCAAAGCATGGGAAAGTCAGAACTCACACTGCTACTGGAAACGTCAGATGCCGTAGCCACTGGGAAAAGGGTCTGGAGGCTCCTCAAAAACGTGACACCCAGTTAGGCAGATGCCCAAGAAACATGAAAACACATCCCACATGAAACTCCTTTGTGAGTGTCACTTGGAACAACCAAAAGGTGGGGAAACAACCCAAATGCTGAACCCTGCCAAGCGCAGGAAATGTGCAGGTCCAAAGAGTGAATAGAGCTCAGCCAGGAGGAGGATGAACCTGGGGCACTGGACAGAGGAAGAGACCACGTGGAAGCCGTATGCCATGAGTCCCTTCACAGATGTCCCCAGAGGACAGCAGAGAAGGGGTTGCCTAGGACCAAGGAGTCAGGGACAAAGAGCGCAAGGCTCCCTCTGGAGACAACAGAAATGTTCTCAAGTCCACACGGTGACATTGGGTAACCATCTGAGTACACTAAAACTAATATACAGTACACCTACGTGGGCACATTTCATAACACGTGAATTACGTCTCCACAGAGCTGCTACCATAAAAACAAAAATAAAACACCCAAAGAATTTCTGTTTACTAAAATGCCCTATGAAAATGTCTTGAGACATGGAAGGTCCTGGGTTCAAACCCCATCCCCACAAAACATCAACAACTAAAACCCCAAAACTAACAGTATAAAACAATGAAAAAGCCAGCTGGGTGTGGTGATGCATGCCAGTAATCCCAGCACACAGGAGACTGAGGCAAGAGGATTGCAGTGAACTCAAGGCCAGCGTAGAGTACATAGTGAGTTCAAGACCATCCTGGAATACATAGCAAGACCCTGTCTCAAACCAACAAACCAACAAACCAACCATCCAACAAACAAAAGCCAAGCCACAAACAGGGAAAAGATATTTCCAACATATACTAAAAAAAAAAAAAAACCCAATAGGAAAGTAGGCCAAATATATTAAAAAGTACTTAATAGAGGGGCTGGGGATTTAGCTCAGTGGTTCCACCGCCTGCCTCACAAGGGCAAAGTCCTGAGTTCGATCCACAGTATAAAAAAAAAGTACTTAATAGAAAAGGAAATGGAATTGGTAACTAAATACTAAAAAGATGTTCAACCTCATTAGTAACCATAAAAACACAAAATAAAACTTTATAAATTATTTTTGGTTTTTTTTGTTTGTTTGTTTGTTTTTTGAGACAGGGTCTCACTATGTAGTTGAGACTGACCTGGAACTCACTATGTAGCCCAGGCTGGTCTCCAACTCACAGTGATCCTCCTGCCTCAGCCTCCTGAGTGCTGAGATTACAGGCGTGCACCACCACACCAGGTTAACTTTTGGATAGATCAGTAGTAAAATCAGAAGTCCTGAATTTGAACCTTAACACCACAGCAAAAAGAAAAAAAGTTACTTCATATGTCCAACAAAGATTTAAAAATCAGCTAATACCAGGCTAGAGAAGTAACTCAATGGTACAGCACTTGTCTAGTATGCACAAGTTCCTGGATTAAATTCCCAGCAGCACAAAAAACAAAAGTAATACCAATGGAAAAAAAATTTTTTTATATTTGTTTGCTTTTGTTTTTGGGTTTTTGTTTTTTCGCTTTTTCGTTTTTGTTTTTTTTTTTGGTTTTTTGAGACAGGGTCTTACTACGTAGTTGAGACTGACCTGGAACTATGTACCTCAGGCTGGTCTCGAACTCACCATGATCCTCCTGCCTCAGCCTCCCAAGTGCTGGGATTACAGGCATCTGCCACCACACCCAGCTTTGCTTTTGTTTTTATTTGGGGGGTGATTCTGGTATTGTGCATTGAACTGAGGACCTTGTGCTTATAAGGCAGGCACAGTGCCACTGAGCTACATCCCCAGCCCGTTTGTTTATTTTTAAAGTGCTAGCAATGGAGCTGGGCATGGTGGTATAAGCCTGAAATCCCAGCACTCTGGGAGGCTGAGGCAAGAGGATCACAAGTTCCAGCCCAGGCTGGACAACATAGTGACTTAGCAAGATCCTGTCTCAAAATAAAACAGACAGGGCTGGGGAGGCAGCTCAGTGGGAAGGCCCTAGGTTCAATCCCCAGTATCTAATTAATTAATTAAAGAAGGCCGGGAATGTAGCCCAGTGGATGAGTACCTTGGGTTCAATCCCTAGTAGTGCCAAAAAGCAAAGTTCTGAGTTTGAAACCCAGGGCTTCCAGTCTACAGGGCACACACTGCCACTAAGCTACATCCTCAGCCCACAAATGGGAGTTTTCCTGTGTGCATCTGTCACTGGGGATTGAACCCAGTGGATGCTTTATCCATGAGTGATCTCTTTTTTTCATTTTGAAACAAGATCTTGTTAATTTGCCCAGGCTGGCCTCAAACTTGGAATCCTCCTAAGTCAGCATCCCAAGTAGCTGAGAATACAGGCACAGGCCACAGCTTCGGGCTCCTACGTTGTCTCCTGACTATACAGTATTAATATCAATACCCTAGTTGTGGCATTATACCTTGGCTTTATAAGACACTACCAATATGGGAAACTAGGTAACAAGTTACACAATTTCTCCATACTATTTCTTACTACTGCATGAAAATGCACGATGATCTAAAATCCAAAAACTAGTTAACAAACCGGAACTTAAGGTAACAGTGGAGATTACAGGACTATAGGTATCATATTTCTTCTTTTTACTTTTCTATATTTTTAAAATTTCCCATAAGTCTTTACCACTTAAAATGAAAGAAAAAACATGGTTCAACTCTTACTTTTAATGAACATACTCATAAAAACGGAACACTTAACAACAATCTGAAACAAGTATGAGTTAACAAGACTACAGCTGGCTCAGATATCAAGAAAATGAAGTAAACCGGGTGTGGTGGTGCACGCCTGTAATCCCAGCAATGGGAGGCTGAGGCAGGAGGATCGCTGTGAGTTCGAGACCAGCCTGGGCCACAAAAGGAGTTCCAGGTCAGTCTTACTACATAGTGAGACTCTGTCTCAAAAAAAAAGAAAATTAAGTAAACGTGGATTTTCTCCTCCTGGTACCTGGGTAGCCATCTTTACACACAAGCTATTATTATATGACCATGTATGGATCATAATTTATCTTTGTCCTTTTTTTTTGTACCAGGGACGGAACTTGGGACCTTGCTCTTTCAAGGCAGCCAGTGGAACCACTGAGCTAAATCCTCAGCCCTCTTCATCATTTCTTTTTTTTTTTTTTTGAGACAGGGTCTCACTGTGTAGTTGAGACTGACCTGTAACTCACTATGCAGCCCAGGCTGGTCTGGAACTTCATCATTTCTTAAGTGAAGGAGACTTTTCAAACAGCATCTTTTCATGTTACCATCTTAAAAAAAAGGTGCTATAATTTAAACACACAACTAACACTGCTAATCTGAAACATACCTGCATATGGAGCCATTCCTAATATAGTAGGCATCAGTCCTCTGTAAAATCCAAGGAAACCACCTTCCTTTGAGTAAAGCAAAATTGAAAGTGAAATTAGATTATGCGTAAAGACAAAAAGCACATAACATACTAAAACATTATTCTGAGACACCCTCCTGAAACACAAAAATGAGCTTTCATAATGATTATTAATATCAACATGGTAAATAAAAAAATTAGATATCATTCAAAATAACTTCTTACATTAAAAAGAAGACATGCCATATATGAGAAAAGTATAAAATACCTTTGCATAAATTGTTTTGAATGCATGAATAATTCCTGTGTAGGTGTGCTCCCCTTTCACCTGGAATGCTAGGCGCACCCTGACCATGTCAAGAGGGTAAGTACAGATAACTGCCGTCATGCCTGAGAAGAAAGCCACAAGTTGACAGAATGACAGGGCCTTTTCACTGATCTACACCCCCAGCCTATTTTTTCAGTTTTTTATTTTGAGACAGGGTCTCAGCAAGTTGCCCAGTGTGGGCTCTAATTTGTGATCCTCCTGACTCAGCCTCCCATAGTGCACCACTATGCCCAACTTAGGAAAAAACAGTTGACATGTATATGTATATATCTATGCACATATAAACATATATACATATGTATACAGTATATATGTATTTTCTGTTGTTAGTAGCACTCTCAAAGTACAGCAATTATGAAAACAAATGAAGCAGGGCACTGAGGCAGGAGGATCCCCTGAAGCACTCAAGAGGCTGAAGCAGGAGGATCAGCAAGAGTCTGAGGCCAGCCTCAGCTATACAATGAGCTCAAGGCCAGCCTAAATGACATAGTGAGACCCTGTTTCACAACAAGGAAACAAAAACAAAGAAGTAAAAAGTCAGTTTGGAAAATTTTCTTCTTCTTTCCATTGTGAAGTTATATTACTAGCTCCAAAACAGAACAGTATCAGTAGATTGTAAGGATTGTTTCAAAGAGACAACCTCATTATGTCGGTGAGGTTGGCCTCAAATGATCAACTTGCTTCAGCCTCCCTAGCAGTTGTGCTTATTATAGGTGTGCACCGCCACACATCTGGCATCATATGATGACGTTTTACACAAAAATGTACACACACGAAGAGTACAACCATAATTTTTTTCTTATTTACTGTTTTTTGTTTGTTCTGGATTTTTGTTGTTGTTGTTTTTGGTAACACTAGAGATATGAATCCAAGGCTCAAGTATGCTATACAAGTGTTCTAACACTGAGCTACAGCCCCAGCCCCCTTATTTTCTTTTTAGAATTTATTTTGTTATTGCCCAAGCATAATAAAAATATAAATATTCAAAATCATAGAAGCGATTCATACTAGAGATCAAACCTACTCATATTAAGCAAGTTTAGTGCTAAACTTCTGTATTTTCATAAGATTTCCAGTTCCATAAATTTCCTAGTTGAGGTTAATTTTTTTAGTATACGTGCTGCCGAAATGAGCATGTAGCTGAGGTTTTTTGTTTGTCTGTTTGTTTTTGGTACTGGGGAATGAACTCAGGACCTTGTACTTGCCAGGCAGGTGGTAGAACCACTGAGCTAAATCCCCAGTCCCATTTTTTAAAAGATCTTTTATCAGCCAGGCATGGTGGTGCACACTTGTAATCCCAACACTCAGTAGGCTGATGCAGGAGGATCACAAATAAAAGGGCTGGAGGAGATGTAGCTCAGTGGGAAGACCCAAGGTTCAATCTTCAGTGCTGCAAAAAATTGAAATTAAATAAATAAATAAATAAAATTTAAAAAGGATTGAGGATATAGCTCCGGGATAAAGGCTCTACATTCGACCCCTAGGACCACAAACAAAACAAAATCAGGGGTCAGGGGATTTGGTTCAGTGGTTCTGCCACCTGCCTTGTAAATGCAAGGTCCCAAGTTCATACCCTGGTATCACAAAAAAAAAAAAAATCAAAGGATTACTAATGCATGCTTTCCAAATAGATTTGTTTTGTTTTTGCAGTGGAGATTGGGGGTTACCTGATCAATGTCACATATAACCTAAATCAAATTAAGTAAATTTAATAGAAAATTAACTTCTCAAAAATGCAAATAGCTAGGGCCAGAGATTTAGCTCAGTGGCACCTCACCTGCCTCGCAAATGCAAGCTCTAAAATCTATCCCTGGTACTACCAAAAAAAAAAAAAAGAAACACCAAAAACCAAAAACCAAGAAACAAATAGCTACTTCTCTTACCTGCCAGGGATCCAGCCATTAATCTGTGCACATGACCAGAAATTCCCAGCTTTGTGGTAATCAACTAGAAACCAAAGACATCAAATTAAATGAGATGTTTTAAATGCTGTTCATTTCACTTAATAATCAAGATTTATTTCAAGAGATATAGGTTTAACAAAATGTAGCAATAGATGTGGAAAAAATGAGCATAATTACACAAAGTTAGGCAATATTTCATCACACCAGAAGGAGGTATTTCTTCTACAGCTTCTTCCTAAATTTTTGCACTTTTTTGAGATTGGGTCTCCTTATGTAACCCAGACTGGTTTCGAACTCCCAGCAATCCTTCTGCCTCAGCCTCTGGAGTGCTGGGATTACTGGTGTGTGCCTCCATGCCCCGCTCCTAAATTTCTGTATTTTTGCAGATACAATACATCTTAAAATTATTATGTCTTAGAATTACCATACTATATACTACTACTCTTAGAGTGTGAACAGGAGTAACAGAGGTAAAAAACTGCAACAGATAATGAAACCCTGGTCACTGATGGCATTAATTCTCATAAACCAGGGCCAGGGATTTAGCTCAGTGATTCTGCTGCCTGCCTCACAAATACAAGAAACCGAGTTCGATCCCTGGTACCAAAAAAAAAAGTTCTCAAAAGCCAGCTTGGCATGCAGTTCCCATCTTTGCTGTTTTTTTTCACTCTAAAATACCTTTTGAGTGGGCTGTAGAGGTCGCTTAGGGTAGACCACGGGCCTAGCATGCAGGAGGCCTTGGCTTCCATCCCCAGCACCACACACAAAAAGACAAGACATTCTCTAAAGTGTAACAATCCTAGCAACTGGGAGCCCTTGAACTCACTGTGCAGCCCAGGCTGGCCTCAAACTCAGCGATCCTCCTGCCTCAGCATCACAAGTGCTGGGATTACAGGTGTGCGCCACCATGGCTGGCCAAAATCACTGTTTTTTGTTGTTTTTTTTTTTGTACTGGGGATCAAACTCAGGCCCTTGTGCTTGCAAGGCAGGAGCCGGAACCACTGAGCTAAATCCTCAGGCCAAATTCACTTTAAATAACTCAAAGCACACACATGCACAAGAACCTAGGTTCCATTCCTAGCCCCCTCAAAAAAACAAATAAATCAAAACAAACTACTGGCCAAAAAGATAAAAAAAAAAAAATTATTGGTGAAGTAAGCATTATATTCAAGAATAAAGAGAAAAGAGGAAAATTCAGCTACCGTTTTATACTGCTCAAATGCCATAAACTGGATTGCACCATAGGGAAAGATTCGAATCATCATGGCACCATTTCCTTTATACAATCCCAGGTATCCTTCCTTTCGGGGAACAGCACGAAGTGCAGAAAATACTCCTATTAGTAGAAAGATTTTAGAAGAAAAACACTGTTAAAACAGAGAAAATTGGCCCAATTTAAATTTCCAGGACAATCACTGATAGTCAATCGCTGATTACCATGCCATCATCCACGATGGAATTTTGCTTAAAGAAAAAACACAAATAGTAATTTCAATACAACATTTAAACTTACTTAAAATATACCATAGAAATAAGCAGACTTCATATAAAAATAGAAAACCCGCTACAGAGCTAGGACTACAGCCAAGTGGTATAGCACAGGCCTCATGTACACAGGCCCCCTGGGTTGGATCCCAGCACCAAAATAACATTTTTTAAAAATTAAAAATAGTACAATACAGTATTTCAAGAGAACTAATTCATATAATTTTCATTACAGTAAACTGTTCTAGTTGTACATTTGATTATTAGTTATCATTCATGTCTTCTTGTGCCTAATTTATAAATTAAACTTTGTCACAGGTATGCATGTGTAAGAGAAAGTGTTACCCTACTGATGTGATGAAAATAGATATGAGAGCCAGTGACTGGGTTCATTTTCAATTTCAGGCACAGGTAACCTTTACAGCCCTTTTTTAAATAACTAAAACTGCAGACACTAAACAGCCAGGCAATAATATATCCCAAAAGCGTTTTTTAATAAGCAAATACCTAAATGAACAATTCTTTTCTTGGTACCGGGGATCAAACCTGGGACCTTGCACTTGCTAGGCAGGCATAGTGCCACTGAGCTACATCCCCAGCTCAGATAAATATTAGAAAGAATTAATTAGATGCTGGGCATGGTGGCACACACCTGTAATCCCAGCACTCAGGAGGCTCAGGCAGGAGGATCACTGTGAGTTCTAGACCAGCCAGGGCTACATAGTGAGTTCCAGGTCAGTCTCAACTACATAGTGAGACCCTGTCTCAAAACACCAAAGAAAAATTTTCAGAAAAAAAAACATGGATGAAAGCAATCTTAATTATTAAAAGCCAGGCATGGTGGCCCACGCCTATAATCCCAGCGCTCAGGAGGCTGAGGCAGGAAGATCATTGTGAGTTCAAGACCAGCCTGCGCTACATAGTAAGTTCCAGGTCAGTCTCAACTACATAGTGAGACCCTGTCTCAAAAAAACAAAAACAAAAAAAAACCCAAAAATAACAAAAACAAAATAAAACAAAACAAAAACAATGAAAGGGCCCGGGATGTAGCTCAGTGGTACCATGTCTGCCTCACAAGCACAAGGTTCTAAATTTAATCCCCAGTTTTGACAGGACGATGAATGAATGAATGAAAGTTATTCTTTGAAACACTTAGGATCATAAATGTTTCTGTTAAAAACATTTTTTTTCAAATGGCAGTACCACACTGTTTACTTAGCTTTTGCACTTACATTTTTCTGAGGAAAAAATACTACTGTAAATCGTAAACAGTCAATACAAACTATTATATGCAAATCTGTAACTGTTGGCAATGTCATCTTGGAGGAGCAGATGAATAAAGTCTATTTTCTGTATTTTTAAAAAACACACTTTTTTTTTGGTACTGGAGATCGAATTTGGGACCTTGTGCTTACGAGGCAAGTGACAGAACCACTGAGCTAAATCCCCAGACCCCTTTTTTTAAAACATATTTTTGGGGGGTTACTGGGAATTGAACTCAGGGCTTTGTACTTCCGAGGCAGGCACTGTGCCACTGAGCAACATTCCCAGTCCCTGTTAAAGACATTTTAATGGGCCAGGGATGTAGCTTAATGGTGTCATGGCCTCATGAGTGTGATCCCCGGTACCAACAAAACAAAACAAACATTTTAATGAGCTGGCCTTGATGGCACAGGTCTGTAATCTCAGCACTCTGAGAGGCTCAGGCAGGAGGATTACAAATTTGGCCCCAGCTTGGAAAAATTAGAGACTTAGCAAAACCCTGTCTCCAAATAAAGTAAGTGAGGTCGCACAGGCCTGTAATTCCAACACTCAGGAGGCTACAGCAGGAAGATTACTGTGGGTTCTAGGCCAGGCCTAACTACACAGTGAGTTCAAGGACTGCCTGAACTACATAGTGAGACCCTTTCTCAAAAAAAAAGTGGTCGAGAGCCCATAGGTTTGATTTCCTAGTACCGATAATAGAGAATAAGGATGAGATAAGGCTGAGATATAGTTCAGTGCAAAGCCCTAGATTCAATCCCCCATACTGCGAAAAGAAAAGAAAAACAGTGTGGTATCCCATATATATGTATAATCTTTTTTGTTGTTTTTTTGAGGCAGGGTCTCAAAAAAACTACAATGTAGTTCAGGCTCACCTTGAACCCACTAATAGCCCAGGCTGCCCTCAAACTCCTGGCAGTCCTCCTGCCTCAGCCTCCCTGAGTGCTGAAATTACAGGTGTGTGCCCCCACACCCAGTATAAAATGTACAATTTTGTGTGTCTCTTTTATTTCTTATCTATGTATGCATACATATAATCACCATTTTAAGAACTATCTTACAAAGGGGGGGACTACCTAGAATAAAATGCCAAAAAAATATTTTTAAGAATGATATTGTAGGGGCCAGGGATTTAACTCAGTGGTTTCACCAACTGCCTCACAAGCACAAAGTCCCGAATTCAATCCCTGGTACCAAAAAAAGAATGAAATTATAAAAGCCACTAATACTTAAAGGTACACAACACTCTAGATACTACACTAACAGTTTACTGGTGCACACCAGGGGTTCCACGTCAAGTGCACAGCCCCGCAGACTGAAATGGCATGTGAATAGGCCGTCGGCCACTCCATGCCAGCGCAGAGCACATGTGTGCACACAAGGGAAGGTGGAGAGACAAGGGACGTGACAGTCCTGCTCAGACACCTGCAGGCAGGGTCAGTGTGAAACACCCCAAGATAATGGTATTCATCTTTTCACTGTCAATTTAGACAACAAAAGAAAATCCATTCCTTCTCTCCAGTATCTTACAATCTTTCAGTAAGTACAAGGGTCTGATTCTTTCTTGTGGAGATACAAAATTCATTGCTGAAGAGAGAGATTATTGCGCTTTTTTCTTTCAATATTAAGTACAGACTTTCTTAGTATTAAAAATTACCTACAGGGGGGCCAGGGATTTAGCTCAGTGGTTCCACTGCCTGCTTCACAAGCACAAGGTCCTAAGTTTGATCCCTGGTACCAAAAAAAAAAAAAAAAAAAAAATTACCTACAGAGCTGGGAATTTAGCTCAATGGCACCATGCCTGCCTTGCAAGCACAAGATTCTGAGTTCAATTCCTAGTACCGGAAAAAAAAAAAGGCCTACAATTAACATGTACCATGAATACCCATTCAGGTGTTTGAAAAAAATTACATTTTAGCTGGAGATTTAACTCAGTGGTACCACCGCCTGCCTCAAAAGCACAAGGTCCCAAGTTTGATTCCCAGTACCAAAAAAGGAAAAATCACATTTTAAAAATCCAATTGGAAAATGAGAACCAAGACCTGTCATGTAAAGGTACAAGATCCCAACGATGAATGTAACTAAAATGTATCAATAAACTCAATGAGAAAAAAAAATCCAATTGGGTCAGTCATGGTGGTGCACGCCTGTAATCCCAGCACTCGGGAGGCTGAGGCAGAAGAATCACAAGTAGGTGCACAGCATGGGCTACAAAATGAGTTCAGGGGAGGCCTGGACTACACACAGACTCTCAAGAAAATGAACAAGCTGGGTGTGATGGCACACGCCTGTGATCCCAGGACTGTAGGAAGATGGGGAAGGAGGATCCAAAATTTCAACCACGCATGGACAGTTTGGCAACTTAGAGTACCAGGTCTTAAAAATAAAATGGATTGGGGATAGTGTGAAGGTCCTAAATCCTCAGTAATGAAAAAAGTTATTTTTCCCTCCAAACTGAAAAAGCAATACATGCAGCTTAACAAGGTGGTAACCTGTAATCCTAGCTACCATGGAGGCTGAGGCAGAACACCAAATTCAAACAAACCTAGACAATTTAGAGACTAAGCAAGACTTTGTCTCAAAATTTAAAAGAAAAAAAAATTTTTTAACATAGATATATAGTTCAAGGTCCTGAGTTCAATTTCCAGTACAACAAATAAATTAATCCATATGTACATACACATGCATATTAATTATATCTTATTCTGCTAGTACTAAGATTTCTGGAAAGTGTCAGGTATGGCAGCACACACCTATAATCCCTCCAAGCTGGGAGGCTATGGCAAGAGATACCAAGTTTGAGCCCAGCCTGGGCAACTCAGTAATTTATGAAGACCTTGTTTTAAAATAAAAAATAAAGCTAGGTGCCACTGGGGATTTGCTGAACTGCACAAGCTGGGCTCAGATTTGGAATCCTCCTGCTTCATTCTCAGAGTGCTGGATTACAGGCAACACCACCACACTCAGCATGTTTACATATTTAAAGAAGTGATCATTTCAGGCTTGCATTTACCAACCGTCACCTCTATCGCTGATTTATTAAAATGTCAGGCTGAGCTGTTGTGTTTATGAGGACTATAAATCTTTAATCCCAATAAACAAATAGTACTTCCTTGATCAGAAGATTTTGGCTTGAAAAATATCAGTACCCTAAAATGATAATATATTTACAACCATTCTTGCAAATGAACAGATTAAAACTGGCAAGAGATACATTGCTAGCAAAATTTACCAAACACTTGAATTTCGTTTTGTATCCTTTCTGGTATAATTCACAGCTGGAAACCCACACAGGGAAATGGATAATCATTTTATTCCTTTTCCTCTTTAGCATATGTAACTCACCTAGGTGCTTGTAATGGTGATTATGAGCTTGTAATAAAACCTTTACTCGATCCAAAGGAGCAACTGTTGTTTTAGCACAGCATCCGGCAATACCTAAAAAAAATTTAAAAGATCAGAAAGAACACTGCATAATATTTCTTCCAGGAGGGAAATCACTATTTGTCCAGACAACAAACCTGCACCTCTTTACAATGGTCTCCATGTGGTAAACTGGCCCCATTCCCTGGAACGTTTGTGTGTTTGCTTTTTGAGACAAAGTGTCACTATGCAGCTCAGGCTCGCCTGGAACTCTCTATAGCCCTCCTACCTCAGCCTCCTAAGTGCTGGGATTATCGATGTATGCCATCGCACTAGCTTACCTGCATCCATATTGAGCACGTCAGACTTAAAAATAAGTTCTAGGAGTGTAAATCCTAATGCCCAATGAACAAAAAGAAGTTTGCTAAAATATAGTTAATAAAACTGACCCTTGAAAGTATTTAATCAGCTGTTTGAAATAACCACGTCTTCTGCATGACCCTTGCGATGAAACAACCAACTTGCACCCGTAAATGAAGCGTTCATGTGTACATTCAGCGAATATGTAGTAGGTCCCTACCAGCTCCCACTGGCCGCTGCGTGTGGATGAATACAGAGCAAAGTGCTTACACAGCCTTTGGCACAGGTCAGATGCTGCTGAGCTAGTGGCATGGCATCTTTCCCAAAGACCACAAGAGGACTTTTCCCCAATACCTCTTGCGTAGTAAGCACTCAGTAAAATGGAGTGGTGATGTTGTGATGATGATTATGATGGTGATTATTTGAGATAGGGTGTTAAATTGTGGGAGCTGGTCCTGAACTCCTGATCCTCCTGTCTCAACCTGTGAAGTAGCTGTTGACTACAGCACTACATCCAGCTATGAGTTCTTACTACTATAAAATGTGAATAAAAAGCCTTCCAGGCATAGTAGCCCATGCCTCTGATTCCAGCACTCAGGAGGCTGAGGCAGGAGTCTGGCAGACTGGAGCATGGCCAGCCAGCTGGGCAACTGGATGTGCCCTGTAAATCACGGTAACCCAGGAGAAGAGTGCCCAACCCTTGTACTTGGAACCAATCAGAGTGTTAACTTCAATTCTTCTCGCAAGAGGGCCGGGGATTTAGCTTAGTGGTTCCGCTGCCTGCCTGGCAAGCACAAGGACCCGAGTTCGATCCCTGGTACAAAAAAAAAAAAAATTCTTCTCCCATTGATACAACGATGGCCTACACCTGACATCAGCCTGAGGCGTGGGGGCTAAAACAGGTAACCACCATTGAGCTCTTGCCCTGTGCTCTGTCTTTCACAGTGGTCGGCTCTCACCCTGAGCAGTATGCTCTTTCCTATTAGTTGGCCAGAACTCACTCTGCAGAGCATGTTTTTTTTCATGTCTTTTTTTGTTTGTTTGTTTGGGTTTTGGGGAGATGTTGGTTGTTTGTTTATTTTTTGAGATAGTGTCATTATTTTTTGTTTTTTGAGATAAGGTCATGCTATGTAGCTCAGGCTGGCCTCGATCTCAGGGTAATCCTCCTGTCTCAGCCTCCCAAGGTGTGGGATTACAGGTGTGCACCACCACACCCAGCCATTTTTATACTTGTCTTGACCAGTTCTTTGTTCAGGACAGAAAGAACCTAGAAACTACATCTAGAAAGCTCCACCATAAAAACCTGGTAAGAGAAATTCACTAAATTGCCCACACGGGGCTCAAATTTGTGATCTTCCTGTCTTAGCCTCCCAGATGCCGGGTTTACAGGCATGCATTTATGTTATAAATTTTTAAAACATAAGAGAAAAATCATTCAAAGTACATACATACTGGGCCAGGGATTTAGCTCAGTGGTTCCAGTGCCTGCTTCACAAGCGCAAGGACCTGACTTCAATCCCCAGAACCAAAAAAAACAAAAACAAAAAAACAACAAAAACCCTAAAAACAAAGTACATACATACTTTACTTAATAGCTCAGCATTGAGTTAAAATTAGCTGGGCCAATGATTTAGCTCAGTAGTGCCTCCACCTGCCTCATAAGCACAAGGTTCTGAGTAAAAACAAACAAAAAAAACTAGTGTGGTGGTACACACCTGTAATCCCAGCATTCCGGGAGGCTGAAGTAAGAAGATAACAAATTTGAGCACAGCCAGAGCAATTTAGTGACTTAAAACTTCTCTCAAAATAAAAAATAAAGATGGGGCCTGGGCCCCGATCCACCGTGGGAAGGAGAGCCATGCCTGCTCCCGACGCAGCCACCATCGCTCAAGCGCCGGGAAGGTAGCTGCGCGGGTTGCCCCTCTGCAGAGGCAGAGGTGGTCATCAAGGGTATTTTTCTGAGTTCCCAACTTTGAACATCTTTAAAGAAAGGGCGTGGGAAACCTGTAATAGAACGTTGTGGAGTTCAACCATTCAGAAGGTCGGGGAACTCAATCTGGGCCTTGCAGCCTGAGGTCAGTCAGCGTCATGGGGTTCAGCCATCAGCTAACTGAGATCAGGGATCTTGCATCCTCGCTCTGTCTGAGCCATTAAATGGTAAATACACTATATTGAAATTTTGTTCGGACATGTTCTGGACTGCTTCTTGATTTCAATTTAATTCAAATGATTTAAGGGTGATAGACTAGTGTCTACCACCGGTGGTCAGTGTCAAAGTTGTGCTTGATCTTAATGTGTTTCTGATTGTATCAATTGGGATAAAGCATGTGGTTGATTTGATGAGCTGTTTTTTCTGATGTTATGAAGATGAGAATGTCTGTGGGTCATTAGAGGCACAGAAGTTAGGGCACAACTATAACAGGAAGATTTGAGTGATAATCCAGAGATTAAAGCAAGGACAGTCTTACAACAAAAATAAAAATGAGAAAACACTTAAGCAAGACACAAGGACAGACTTCCAGTTTACCAATGGCAAACAGTAGGGCAAACGAGGATGAAAAGGCCAATAGTGAACCACCAGGACACCCTGAACTCAAAGCACAGGAAGTAACAAAACAGATCAATCAAGCTCTAGAAAAATTCAAAACAGAAATAATTTCTCAGATAACCATAGAGATAGTGAACAAAATGGAAGTCATGATTTGAGACTCTAGAGCAGAAACTGACAAAAAAATAGATGAGCTCAGGACCATGATAGAAGGCATGAAGGACCAGCATAAGAAAGAAATGGGAAAAAATAAATGCCCAACATAGGAAAGAAATGGAATCCATAAAACAGATTCAAACGGATATCCAGGAGATTAAACACTCTATTGAAAGTGTACGCAACAGGAAAAAAGAATGCAAAGATAGACTCTCAGATATAGAAGATAAGATTGCAGTCAGTGACCATGAAAAGAGAGGTCTCTTAAAAACAGTAAGAGATCATGAGAAATCGATCCAACAACTCCTAGATGATGCAAAGAAGAATAACATAAGACTGATAGGAATACATGAAGTAGCAGGAGAAAATACAAATGACTTAAAAAAGCTGTTCGCAGAATTAGTGACAGAAAACTTCCCAAACAGAGGTAAAGAATTTAACATTCATATAACTGAGGCATATAGGACCCCAACTAGCTACAATCAAAAAAAATCTACACCTAGACATATAATAATCAAGATCCCAGAAACCCAAAAGAAGAACAAAATACTACAAGCAATAAGAGAAAAGAAACAAATCACATACAAAGGAAAGCCCATCAGAATCACAGCAGACTTTTCAACACAAACCCTTGGGGCAAGGAGAGCCTGGAATGAGATATTTCAAGTTCTAAAAGAGAACAACCTCCAACCTAGACTGATGTATCCAGCAAAACTCTCTTTCAAAATGGATGGGGAAATAAGACACTTCCATGACAAAGAACACCTGAGAAACTACATGAATACCAAACCAGCACTACAAGGAATTCTAAACAAGATCCTAGAAAAAGACAATGAAGGCAACAACACCATGAGGCCCAACAGAGCAAATCAAATAGGCAAGGCAAGAAATTAAAAGGAGAAGGTGAAAAAGTAAAAAGAGTCAAAAAAAGGCCAATAACATGTCAATAATAAGTCAATACATATCAGTTATAACCAGCAATGTCAATGTCCTCAACTCACCAATCAAGAGAAATAGACTGGCAAAATGGAATAAGAAGCAAAATCCAACAATATGTTCTATTTAAGAAACACACCTAGTGCAAAAAGAAGCCCATAGACTGGAAGTGAAAAGATAGAAAACAATTCTCCATGTGATGACAGGAGCTCAGAAAAAAACAAGGGTAGCAATCTTACTTGCAGACAAAGTAAATTTCAAACCAAAACTGATTATATAGTATTATTGATGTAGGATGGCACTGTATCATACCTCTGTGAATGTAAAATAGCTTGTACCTGCTTTATGATACATAGTAGGGACCGTGCTTTATCAGCGCTACATTTAATGATATTACTCTATAATGTTCTCTTTCCAGATGATGATTAAGATGCTAATAAAAACAAATGGTCCCAGGTACCACAACAGCAACAGAACTTTGCTGTTTTCTGGATATTACTCTTTTCTTTGTTTTGTTTAATTTGTTTCATTTTTAATGGAATGTGCTGAATGTCTATAGTTTTGTCCAGATGACTACAGAACCTGGAAAAGGTGTTGCTGCTATTGATGCCTAACATACTATTATTAGTCTTTTTATATAAATATAAATATATATATATATACA